AAAAGAGCATAGGTGATAATAAACACTTATTGCTGAACATAGCTTAGGTAGGCTACTGAACTTCCAGGATAAAACAACAATGGTACCTTTGGATATCAGGAGAGCAAAAGCAAATCACCAACAAGGGTTAGAGAGATGGTGGGGGAGGGCAGTGATGTAGGAGGAAATCAGGCTGACTCTAGGCTTTCTCTATCATAATCATCGATTCCTGAAGACTGTAAAATAATGTCTCCAAAACTCTGGGAGAAATGGAGTGTCATCTGAGAATAAAACACACAGGCATGCTATTGTTTAAGTACAAAGACCAGGCAGATGGGCATTCTCAAGTCTAAGAGGATTTGTGAACATATCAGGCATGAGCCCTTAGTTGAGTTCTACTTGGTAAGAAAACCCAGCCAAATAAGTTATGAATAAAAGCAAAAATTTCAGGAATTAAGAAATCCTGATGGTGGGTGATCACAAATGCATTTAAAAATAAGGTTTCAAACAACCATGGGAGTTATGGTTATCAAACATGAACTCTTAAACCTTATAAACATAAAATAAAAAATGTTAATGTCTTTATACAAAGTGGGGGATCAGTTGATACTGTCTATTATACAAACAGGCTTCCCAGGTGGCACAGTGGTAAAGAACCCGCCTGCCAATGCAGGAGGCCCCAGAGACGCGGGTTCGATCCCTGGGCTGGGAAGATCCCCTGGAGTAGGAGATAGCAACCTGCTTCAGTCTTCTTGCTTGGAAAATTCCATGGACAGAGGAGCCTGGTGGGCTACAGTCCACGAGGTCACAAAGAGTTGGACGTGACTGACCGAGCACAACAGCAAGAATTATACAAATGTGCAGTTTGAGGAAATACTCATTACAATGTATGAGCTTTTTCATGGCGGCTCAGATGGTAAAGAATCTGCCTGCAATGCAGGAGAATGGGGTTCAACCCCAGGGTCGGGAAGATCCCCTAGAGAAGGGAATGGCTACCCACTCCAGTATTTTATATTTTTTAAAATAAAAACTATACAGTGATTTTTTTTTCTGTTTATTGTTGTAGAAAACCCTGAACATAACTATACCAAGAAGTTAACAGTGTTTTTAATTCTGAGTGTTGGTAATGGGTATCTTTTCCCAAGAATAGTATCTATTGCTTTTTCCTGTAGTTTTCAAATTTTTAAAAATAAAAAATCCTAAATTAAAGAAAGTAATGCAAATAAAAAGAAAGAAATATACATTTTGCAGAAGGCACACTTTGAAGGAAAGCAAATGATCCTAGTTTGGGATGTTGACTAAAGTCTGGAAGCGATCAGAAGAGCAGGGGTTAATGCTGTAGGCATCAGCAGGGTAGAGACTCGGAATTGAAAGACTAGCCTGTGAGCAACTACAGAGAGCACCTGCAAATTCTCTAATGCAAAATGTGGCCATTTCAGCTAAGATTGGCATGGGGTAGTAGATTGGTAGGTAGGTAAGCAGATAGATGATTGATAGATAGGTGACTGGTGATAGGTAGATTGGGATCCAGAGGAGAATCCTGGATGGAAAGAAGCAAGATGATGAAGAACAAAAGAATTTTGGTGGAATACCTCTTCCCTCCCTACTTTTGATGAGGTGTGTCTCAATTCTCTATGTATTTAATCACGTACCCAGTAGAGTCTGGATTTTAAAATAAATTTGGAGCTGGAAAAACTCCTCTGGGGGTTTGTGAACATTTGAAGCAGTGTAGGGTAAGACTGGAATTCATCTCTTGGACAGTTCTGGGAGTGATCTCTTCGTCAGGGCAGAAAGTACCTGTCCATTTTTCTTGGGGGATCTCTGAAACACGGGTGAAATGTACCAGCATTAGAGTCTGCAGCCTGCAAGGTTCAGTGGCTTGTTTAGGATGTACCTGGTATGTTAGGAGAGTCTGGTCCTGTGGAGTTAGGGTCCTGCTTACACCCCACTCCCCATCCCACACCTGGATTTACAATATTCTCACAGTGGCTTGTTCCTGTCCTCTTACATTTTCTCCCGAGATATTTGGAGCCGAGAACCAGGCATCACTAGGTGTGGGGGCTGCATCCCCCTTCCCTACAGATCTGGTTGGGGGCGGGGTGACTGTGCGTGGAACTGGGTATGAGTTGCTGTTGCGCTTTCCTCACCCAACAGAGTTATACCAAAAACTGGAAGTCATTCTTTTTTGTTGTTGTTCATTATGGTTTATTACAAGATACTGAATAGTCCTCTGTGCTATACAGTAGCACCTTATTGTTTATCCATCCTATATGTATGTCTGCATCTGATGCTCCCAGACTCCCAATCCTTCCCTCCCCCAGGCAACCTCAAGTCTCTTGTGTTTTTGTTTCTCAGATACATTCATTTGTGCTGTATTTTAGAGTCCTTCTGATTTTCAATCTAGGCCCTGGTGTTCAGGGCACCTGCGTGTGGCCCAGAGCTGTCCAAGAGGAGAGGCGTGTCCCGAGGCTGGAAAGGACACAGGCTTTGCACTGGGGAGGGGAGGATTTTCTTCTCTCTCTGGGGCCAAAATGAGTGGTCTTGGAGGTGTGCAGACTCCTGGAGATTCCTGGGGCTGTTCCCCCCACCTGGAACCCTGCTAGGAGCTGGGCAGACTCTAGGTCAGATTTTGACTATGAGCTTTAAGACTAGAAACATCTGGTAGCAGTTGCAATTAGTCTCCACCTTCAGTAAAATTGTCTTAAAATGCGTTTGGTCTTAGATGAGTTGGAGGGTGCAGACACTGGCTTGCGTCCAGGACTGAGATGATATACCAAGGAGGGTGGTGGGTGCGGTGGCTGGAGAATCAGACTATGAGCTGGTAGGCGGTGATCCCGTGTGGAGCTGTGTGGGGCAGTGGAGAGGGGGAGTCAAGGAATAAGAAACATCCAGAGAGTCCTATGAACACGTTTGCATTCTGCTGCGGGGAGGCTCAGAAACCCACAGAGAGGAATCCTGGGAAGCACTGCCCCCACCCTCCCCCATCACAGGAGATGGATGCTTGGAATTGTTATGGGACTGCTAAAGGAACAGTGACCCCAGAAATCTGGAGGATGGAGGCATTTGGGTTGCGTAGGTCGAGGGTGCATCTGCCCGTCCTTGTGTCAGGAAATGCAGAGCCCTTCTCACCTGACCATTTGTGGGTGACTCTAAAACCCTGCATTTAAAGGTACTTTAAAATCCTGAGTTTAAAGGTACTTGACATGATTAACGGGAGGGCCCTGAGCCCCCTGCCGCCAAGATCCCAGAGGCGGGGGTGCTGTGGGCTCCCACCCCTGAGAGCGGGGGTGCTGGATGAGCTGCGCTCCTGCCTGGGGCCCCCTCTGCTCACACACATGCCTGCCGGGCTGCATTCCCCCCACGGCTTGATGTTCCTCATCCCAGCTGGACTTTCTTTTTTTTAGACAGTGCAGGAGTGGTTTTAGGAACCCAAGTTTTTCCCTGTTCTATACTTCATTTCATCCCTACGACACAGCTTATGAAAAATGGACCTTTTTTTCTCTTTTTCTACTCTGACTTCCCCCTTCCATCTCCATTACATTTTTTTATTTGAAAACAAATCATTTGTTTCTTCATGTTTTAAAAAACTTATTTATTTGGCTGTTCTGGGTCTCTGCAGCTGCTCGGCCTTTTCTCTAGCTGTGGCAAGCAGGAGCTGCTCTCAAGTTGCTGTGCGTGGGCCTCTCACTGCGGAGGCTGCTCTTGTTGCCGAGCACGGCTCCAGGTCTGCAGGCTCAGTGGTTGTGGCTCCCGGGTACTAAATCAAAGGCTCAATAGTTGTGGCACACAGGCTTGGTTGCTCCAAGGCATGTGGGATCTTCCCAGACCAGGGATTGAACCCATGTCTCTTGCATTGGCAGGTGGATTTTTTTATCATTAAGCCACCAGGGCAGCCCTTGTTTCTCCGTATTTTTTAACATAACTCATGTGCCTATGGTAAAAACTTGACCTCGCTTAAGGTGACAGATGATTGTAAAAAATTGGGCTGAAGAAGATATAGTGAAAATGGAGGCAGGTTGATTCTTATCCTGAAAAATAAAATAAAGATATATACAAGTGAAAAAAAAAATTTGACCTCGCTTAATTTGGGGGGACCGTAAGCTTGAGAAGCCTGCAAGGTATTGCAACTGGGCTGTTCTGTCTTTCTGTGGCCGAAAGGCACCTGCCGCAGTCTTGAGTCCCGGGACTACGCTGGGGTGCCAGCAGGGCCGAGGAGCGACCACTGGAGGGCGCTCAAGTCTGTGGGCGGCGCCGGTCGTGGTAGTGGCCGTGTTTGGTAGGAAGAGGGCGCTGTGGAGCCAAGCAACCCAGCACGGCAACTCCTGCCCCTGCCAGTCCACAGCTTGAAGGATTCACCTTGTGCTCTATCCTTCAGTCGTGTCTGACTCTCTGCGATCCCCTGGACTATAGCCCTTCAGGCTCCTCTGTCCATAGAATTTTACAGGCAGGAATAGTGGAGCTGGTTGCCATTTTCTACGCTAGGGGATCTTCCTGACCCAGGGATTGAACCAGTGTCTCTGCGTCTCCTGCATTGGCAGACAGATTCTTTACCACTGCGCCACATGCGAAGCCCCTCTGGACATCCACCTGGTATGTGGCAAGCCCTCCACTTGGCCCAAGGGCACCCCACCAGCAAACTCTGCCATCTTCTACGACTCAACCCTTACTATGTTCAGGGCCTTAAGGCATGGGTAGGGTACCTTAAAAACACGGCTACCTTTCATCTTCACAATAACCCTAGAAGGGAGATGTTATTATTCCTATTTCATGAATGGGAGCAAATGGAGACTTAGAAAGAATAGGGAAGTGGTTCAAGGTCAGGATCATTCCACTAGCAAGGAGTGGGGCTGAGAATCTCAACTCACACCACTGACCCCAAAGCCCAAGCCACAAGCCACTAGTTCTTTGTGTTGCCCCAAGAATCAAGCTGAGAAAGCACCATAGTCCTTGTGGGGAAGGGGAGGGTTTTGGCCGAGCAGCAAGAAGCCCACTGACCTTGCCCAGGTGCCAGGTGTCATGGAGCTGCCATTCCATAGGGGTTGCCCTGCTTTTCACTGGGAGCCGTCAGGCCTGCCCAGGAAGTGGAGACTTATCTTTCGGTCCGATCTGACTAGGGATGCCGGTGTGCAGGGTGTGCGGTATGTGGGGAGCAGCTTCTCTCTCTGAGGCTTCCTGCGTCTCAGCCAATGACACCAGGGCTGTGAAGGCTGCTTGCTGGCTCAGGGGCTGCTCCAGGTGTGGGTGTTCCTGGCTCTTCTCAAGGGTGGGGCTGGAGTCCTGCTGGGCCGAGTCTTCAGCAAAGAGGAAGGTACAGCATCCCTCCAGGGAGGCTCACGTCCATGCCGCACAGTAACAGGAGGCTGTTTCGAAATGGGGGTGTAGGGTAGGGATGGGCGTGCCCTCTGGGGAACAGGGAAGCCCGGGGCTTGTCTTGTCAGCGTAAGCTTCCTGTGACACCCCATGGTCAACAGAACTAGCTTCTCAGAACTAGAAGTACAGACCAGATCAGCCACAAGAGGAACTTGTCTGAAATCCACATTTTACGGATGAGGAAACTGAGACTTGGGGGAGGCTGTGACTCATCTCAGATGACAAAACCAGTGAGGGCAGAGGGGAACAGGCTTCTGACTTCTCAGCACACTTTTGGGCCACTCCAGGCCTTCCCTGCAGTGACCCTGGGGTCTTCTGCTATCTTATTGGAGACTAAATCCATGCCCTCCCCTCCCTACTCCGTGCGCCGGCTCCTCCTAGGCCAAACCGCACATTCCCTTCCATTGCCCAAGCTCTTCAGTCCCACGCCCAGGGCTTTGCCCACACGGTCCCCCTGCCTGGCCTGCAATGCTGCACACTGACCCCATTGGCTTGCCTATAGAATGCCTCCTCATTCTTTACAACCTGTATCAAATATCACCTCCTCCAGTCTCCCCACCTGGAAGCAGTTCCTTCTTCCTCTTTATTCCTGAATCCACTGTTTGGTCTTTTCTGTGGGAGGAGTTATCTGCTTTCTCTCATTTTATCACAACAGTTAACAAGCTGTGAGTCTTCCTTGAGATACTGGGAGATGACAAGTGTGAGTACTGTAAAACCCCTATTTGGACACGAGAAATCTAAGACTCAGAATGTTAGATGAGCAGAAGCCAGGCCTCCTGACTCCCACACCATCTGGGTGGGAGCCAGCCTGCTTCCTCTGCAGAACCACCTCTGTTGTCTCTGGGAATGAATTCTCTGGAGTTGTGCAGTGCACAGCCTGGGCAACTGTATTGTACAGCCCTGCCTTGGTGTCAGGCTCAAGGGCCTACTTGAGGCAGATGCTTCATAAGTGTGGTCGGATTCAACAGAACCACAATTCAGAGGTAGCTCTCTTTTCTTTTCCTTCCCTCCCTGCTTCCTTCCCCAACCTGTTTCCCTGCCTTTAACTCCCTGCGTTTTTCCACTGAATTTTTCATTGGGAAGAAGCACATTTAGAGATGTGAAGCGCACACTTTGCTGGGCTTCAGCTTTGATGAATCTTTGATGCTGACCCTGGGGAGGCTGAGGCTGCCGCAGACTGGGGGAGGTGAGGGAGGAGTTGGGGAGGGGCCTCTATGGGACTGACTCTCCCTCCTTTGCCTCTTGGCGTGGGAGAGAATTCAACCCTGCCTCATGCTTGGTGGGCCTGGCTACGCTCTGCACCCCAGACGTGTGTAGATGGGAGGGATGAAGTGCGTGCAAGCTGTGTGTGTGTGGGGCCAGCACAAGGCTTGGGGCAGAGTAGCCAGAAGTTACACCACCAGACACCACCCACTCTAACCTCAGCTCCCTCCACTCCCCCTCCCTTCTCCTAGGGCTTTGAGGTCACACCAGTTTCTGGCTGTGTGGCTTTGATGAGTCGTTTAACCTTTCTGAATCTTAGTTCTTCAATAGCAAATTGGAGATGCTAATCCCTTCCCCTGCAGGCCAGTGTGAGTAAATGAGATACCTATTTGCTGTGCCTGACTCATGCTACAGGCTCAGTAAAAACCAGTCTTCCTACCCCTCCATTCAAATCCACTTTTGGCAGCTTTTAACAACAGTGAGTGCAGTGCTGTGGGCAGGGCAGGCCCTGCCCGGAGGTCTGATACTCAGCTTAGCCCTGTCTACACAAACAGGAGAGGGTAATCAACCTTCAAAGAGCTCTTCTTGGCATCCCAAGGCAGGAGTTTGCGTTCTGAGCTGACTCAGGGTTGGGCATGTGACTCCAACAGCCCCTCGAGTAGGGGACGACCCTGTTGAATCATAGCTGGGTGCCCCTATGCGTAGGCCCCCGGGCGCCCAGCAGAGGTGCCTGGCCCCGAGCACCACTCGACGGGTGTAGCTCAAGTCAAACGCAGGGACGCAGGTTGGGGAGGGAAGAAGGGCGGGAAGGAAAAGAAAAGAGAGTAGGTGGGGGTGGGGCTGGGGGATGGGGGATGGTGGCAGTGGGCCTTTGAGTGTGGTGAGGATGCCAGCCATTCACCCCCTCAGAGCCTCTCTCTGCACAGACTCTGTCAAGGTCACAGGCTCGTTACCCTATGAACAGAGAGGGGGATTTGTCTTGTGGCCCTGGCTCTGTAAGTGGCTTCATATCATCTCATGGTGCACCCTTTACTGAAACCCATGGCTCGGATTCTGCCATGAGCCGCTGCACAGACACCTCACCTGGGCCCCAGCCACGGCCACTTCGTCCTGCCCGCATTTCTCTGTTGGCTGAGATGGAACAGCTGGCCCACTGGGGCTGCATCCAGGAGGCCAACCACTCTGCACTCTCTGGAGCTTCTCCAAGGCCCCTTTGGGCACTTCCAGCAGAAGATAACCGGATAGCACAGGGCTCACCATCAGCCTAGCTCTGTTCCCCACATCTTCCCCGGCGGGTTGACTCTGAAGTCGTGAATGTGTGTCCGTGTGCCTGGATTCACAAACCCCAAGGCTCCCTTTGGCCTTTAAGGTCCTTTCCACTCTGAGGGGCTATAACTCTAGGATTAACCTTGTAAATGCATAATGGATTGTGGAGGTCCTTACCTTGTCAGGGATGTCAGGGAACTTTCAAATCCACTAGATCTTCTCTTGAACTACCCTCAGGTCCGCTTTCATGGGTTGGTCAGCTGTCTCAGATTTCTCCCTCTATTTGGGGTCAGCAAGGTACACAGAGAGCCATCCTCCCCAGCTCTCCCCACCCCCTCAATAGTACTAATAGTCAGCCACACCCAAGTGCGCGTGACTTAATCAGACTTCTCCCCCTCACCGTCCCTGAAGGAAGGGGATTTTGACTGGAGAAGTGTGAGGGCCTAGATTACTCAAGAAGCCCTGAGTGAGCCCTGCCTTTCAGAATCACTCAGCTTCGCATCAGTCTGTACAAGCGGCAGAGTGTGAGAATGAGAAAATAACTGCCCTGGTATTGAAAGGCCTTGTTTGAGCAGAAGAAAGTGCTCTGGGGCAGGCAGGCCTGGAGGCCTTCAGGAGGGCCCCTGAAGATCGGGAGCCAGGGGTCTCCCTCTGGGACTTTGCCACCAGGCCGAGGGATGGAACGGGCACTCAGCTTCCTCGGTCTGTGCCCAATGCCCATCTTGCTGCCCAGATGGCCCTGAGGCATCTGAATGTTGGAGCCTGGCATGGCAAACATCTAACCACTGGCAGGGGTCGCTGTTTTGGTGTCTAGGACCAAGCTAGAGGGTGGTGTCTGGGTTGGAGGGGAAAACCTGAGGGCTGGAAAGTGAAGGCATGACACTTCATTAGGGCTGGGGGCGTTCGGCAGCTGGAGAGCAGATGGCTTGAATTTGGCTCCCAAATCTGAGCCTCCTAGTGGGGATGTGGCGTCCTGAACACCCCACCCAGGATGGGGGGTGGCCAGGTCCAGCTCTCAGGCCCCTAGCCCTTCACATGCCCCCGTGCCCCCGGTGGATGAACCTAGCAGGGCCGTTCCCCTCTGGCACAGTCATCACCGTGATCTGGGGAGCAGCTGGGAAGCGCCTTGGGAACACAGCACATGCCGTTAAGAGGTGGGGGCCTGGGACTGACCCTCATCCACCCCTCGGGAGGCCCTGTCCGTGCAGTGAGGGGTGGATGAGAGGTACCCTAAGGGACGTTCGGACATTTTGGCTCCTACCACCTAGGACAGCCCTGAGAGGGGTCAGATGCTGGAGTCTGGGGAGGTGCATCTGTCAACAGGATGTTTAGACTCTAGGCATTTTGCAGAAGCAGGTGGAGTGGGCAGCTGAATGGTAGTTTCTGAACGGCTTCTTGTCCTGCCAGCTCCCTTCACTGCTGGCAGGAAACTGCCCCATTGGAGAGCCCGCATCTGGCTTTCAGAGGATTTCCTCCATTAACACAGAAGTTGCTGCCACTGGCACTAGGATCATTGTTGGGGACTCCCAGGACTCAGGGCACTTGTGGGAGCAAGAGGGGCCCGGGGAGCGGAGAAGAACTCAAAGACAACTTTGTCCATGCAACTGCTGACCTTTGCCACCAGAGCTTCACTGAGGCTAAATTCTTACACAGACCTGGTTCTCCTAGAGCTCAAGGTACCTGAGGGTGGGGGATGGGAGTGGGTGCAAACCTTCTATCCTGTGTCATGAATGAGGGCCCCAAGGTTCACGGTCACTTGCCCAAAGTCACAGAACCAAGATTCAGCAGAGCCGGGTTTTGTGGCTGTAAGACCCGGCTGGGCCCCATGGCCCCACGTGGGCTTGGGGTAATTTAGGGAAAATCATAGGTTTCTGCAGCCCTGTGGTCACTTCAGGGTCAGTCCAGGCAGGGTTTCAGGGCCCCTGGGCTGGCGCTGGGGCTTTTGGCCCGAGGGAGAAAGTTGTGAGAGCTGTTGGCTGGGCCTACTCATAGGGTTTTGGAAATAGAAGGGAACTCAAACTTTGGTGAGGTCAACCCCACCCTCTCTGTTTATAGCAGAAATGCCTGAGGCCCAGAGGGGCCAAGACCCCAAATAAGGTTGCCAGCGAGTTGTGAGCAGAGAGGAAACTGACCCTGGCCTCCTGGCCATCTTTCCACGTGGCCCCAGAGCTTGTCTCTTTCCAGTAAACTCTGCCCTAGAGAAAGGCTGCTGCTCTGCTGTTTCCCCACCCACACATACAAGGAACCTTTTCTCTTTGACACTTTCCCCTGGGCTTCTGAGTTTATACTCTTGTCTCTCTTTTCTCTGACCTCCCACTGCCCTGCCTGCTTTTAGCAGTTGTTTGTCTGTCCATTCGTCCCTCCATCTATCTATCCATCCATGTGCTCATTCCTTGATCAAGGGTTGATGGACACCTCCATGTCCCAGGCCCTGTTCTGGGCCAGGCAGACCTGGGTCTTGCATGCTCTAGAAAAGGGCAGAGACTTCAAATGGAGAATCCCCCCCAAATTCCAGGAGGTCTGTGATTCAGGCCATGAAGGGAAAGCCTGGGGGTGAATAGTGTGAGTCCTGGCCTGCTGGGAGAAGCAGGGAACTCTCCTACAGGGAGTGACATTATTCTACCCCCTCCTTAAGTGCCACTGATTCCTCAAGGTTAGGGACCTCAAGATCTAGCCCTCTGGTGTCTTCCCAACAAAGGGCATAGTAGTTGGGGCCCAGCGGTGCTCTGTGAAGCCTGGGGAGATGAGTTGGGAGTCAAACGAGCATGGCTTATGGACACAACTACAGTGATGAAGCTTGGGGCAAATTCTTTAACTCTCTTGAGCCTCAGTTTCCTCATCTGTAGAGTGAGGATGTAGGTGGCCCACCCTACGTCTAGGAAATGGGGATGAATACATGGTCCCTCCTCTCCCTGGACTTGACACTGGGAGACTCGTTTTCTCAAGCCCTCCAGCTTATTCCTTGTTCTGGCTTTTTGTTCCTTTGTAATCTTGTGGTGCAAACGAATAACAGACTAACATGACATGACTGATATGAAGTGGTTGTTATTGTTGGAAAGAGCACCGGTTTTGGAATCACAGGCTCAAGGGCTGCTTCTACCCCCAAGTAACTGTGTGGACTTGGGCAAGCTTCTGTCTCTGAACCTCATTTTCTCGTCTGTAAAATCGGTCCACCTGTCTCCCAGATGACGGAAGTGTCAGATGTCAGCGCCTGGAACTATTGAGCATTGTAACCTGGGTGAACTCCATAGCAGGCTGAGGGTCTAACAAGAACGTGAGTGGGATGGAGGCCAGGCCATCCAGCCTGGAGCCCCAGCTCTGGCCATTACCTGTGTGAGACCCTCGGCTCTTATGCTGTGGGCTTCCATCAGAATGAACAAGCAGCACTTGGGTGCAGGGGGCTGTGTTGTGGAGGGAGGGCCCAGCTGGTTTCCAGATGCAGGCACGGCTATTGCCTGAGAAGACCTGGGAGGGCGCATTACTGGCCTTGCCTCCACCTCTCTGCGCTCCCAGGAAGCGCTGTCCTTCCGGTGGAGCCATCAGATATTCAGAGCAGAAGATGGTGGAGCTATGAGCCAGGGAAAGCAGCCCCTCCTGGCCTTCAGGTTAGCCAGCCCCCCATGAGGTTGATGTGTGGACCCGCTCGTGGGTGCCCTGGAAGCCTGTACCCACCCCGCCTTCTTTCATCTCCTTTCTTGTTCTAGACATTCCCCCTTCGTGTTGGCCAGTTTTTCTTCTTCCTCCTTTTGACCTTCCCTTCCATTGGGCTTGCCCTTCCCCTCTCTGAGGCCCTTTCTTTCTTTCATTCATTCAGAAACTTAACTGGACTGCCTCCTCCTTACTCTACCCAGGGTCTAGGCAGAGGCCCAGGTTGGTTAATTTGTAGTTCATTTGCAAGAGTTGTGTTTTTTTTCGATTGAAACTGCCTATGGACTCCCAGTGTATAAAAACGTACAGAGAGCGCTGCACCATCTTGACCTTGCCCTCCTGGGTCCTTGCTGGGCGTGGACGTGTCCCCAAACAGTGTAGATGCAAATTCTCAGCTCTGGTCCAACTCTTTGTTTCACATACAGGAGATCTAGAACCAAGTAGAGAGGGGTTTTCTTAGGTCACTGGGAGGATTGGTGGCAGAACTGGGACTGGAACCCCTGTGCTCCAACTTCCAAGATTTCCTCTCCCCAGGTCCCAAGCCTCTTTCAGTTTAGCTTAACTTCTCCCAAAGCCCACCTTGGTCTCTTCTTGGAGACCTGAGCCTTCCCTCCAACGCACCTGATCAGTGCTGGGGCGTTTCAGGTGCTTTCCAGAGGTAGAATGAGGCCAAGGGATGTCAGAAGATGCAGGTGGCATCCAGGTGAAGTGGATATTGGGGACAGGGACACTGTGATGAGGGAAGAACGCCTAGAAGGTGCACCGACAGCAACTGTGGGCCTTTGGGGAGGAAGTGGATGGGTACCCCAACCCTCCTCCTTGGTCAGAAGGGCTATTGTGAATAATAATAATAGATTCTAGATCTTGATCTCAAACGGTATCACAGGCACAGTCATTGTTATCTAATCCAGTGAAGCAGTTTTATATTCCTCATTGCCCTGCAAAGGAAACCAAGGCTTAGAGAGGTTCAGTGACTTGCTGGAGGCCACACAGCCAGTGGCAGAGCTGGGATCTGAAGCCAGTCTGGCTCCATGAGGAGGGGTGGGGGTGCCTCCGGGTTGTTCGTGTGGGAGCCTCATGCTCTTGAAGTAGCAGCAGGTAATAGGTCTTCTTCTCCTCCACCTGCTCGCACCTGCACCCCTAGACACCCCCGGTCACCGTGATAACTCTATTGGCTGGTCCAGGTGGAGGAGTAGGACCTTAGCAAAGAGGGTCTGAAATGCAGGACCTGGCCCACCTCTCAGGTGAAAGCATTGAGTGCTTCATTCATCTACTGCCTCCAGACAAGGAACTGTTTTTCACAAGTTTTGGTAAAAGTTTGCTTGTGTGATCTTGGAAGACACGTTTGCAGGGGCAGGTCTGTGAGATTCAAGACTCTGACACACATAGTCAAGGTTTTTGGCCTGACAAGTGGTCACAAGGATACATGAAGCAGGCTGCTGGTGCCCCTGACTTCTGGGGAATCTCTCTCTTTTTTTTTTTCTGGGGAGTCTCTAAGCAGTTTTGTGCATGCTCTTGGGTTCTAACCCTTGAATTGCTGAGACCTCCTGCTCTCCTGATAGAACTATACAGACTTCCCTGGTGGTCCAGTGGCTAAGACTTTGTGCTCCCAATGCAGGGAGCCATGGTTTGATCCCTGGTCTGGGAACTAGATCCCATATGCTGCGAGAAGAGTTCACGTGTTACAACTGGAAAAAAAAAAAATCTCACACGCTGCAACTAAGGATTCTGCACACCATAACTAAAAAATCCTGCATGCTGCAACTAAGACCTGGTGCAGCCAAATAAGAAAATATTACAACACACACACAAACAAGCAAAACAAAAAAACACCTAATCCTTGGCATGTGCAATTAAAAAGAAAAGAATTGTTCTATACATTGGGCTTTTAAAATCCTGGCTATTCCTAGAGCCTAGAAGTACATTTACGTGTGAGAGCCCCATTGTAAGGAAATTCAACCTATTTTCACCTCTGATGCCCAGCCTCACAGAGGAATGCCCTCTTCTCATCTGGCAGGCCTGGGACAGGTGGCCACCAGGGACAACCTGCTTTTCCTGCCTAGGTGCCCACCTGAGAGAACCAGTGAATGTTTTCCTTCTGACTGGGCTCATTAAGCCAGGCACTTGGAAAGGGGAGAGAGAATTTCCTCATTTCATAAAAATTTAAACTCCTGTGCAGAGGCAGTCAGCTCCTACCTAGTTATTTTCTCTCTCCTGCCTAGAGATATTTCGTTCTCTCTCTTCCTGGTGGGAGATAAGGGGCTGGAAGAAAATGGAAGCAGATGAAGGGGGGAGATGATTCATTCTCTGGAGACTGTGCTGCCTTCTGAGGAACTCATGAGAATAATCAGCATTGACTGAGCCCTACCCATGAGCCAGGTACTTTGTATAGTCTGCATTTGTATAAAAATCCTCTGAACAAGATTCTTTTCCCAATTTCACAAGATGCTCAGAGAGGTCAAGTAACTTATCTAAAGTCACACAGCCAGAGGCTGGAGGAACTGGAATTCAAACCTGAGTCTCTGTCACTAAGGCCTGGTTTGAGAGCACTGTGTTATGTGGCTTCTGTGGCAGCAATAGCTGCTAACAGCTTCTGGGTGACAGGGCCAGGTTTGGAACATGCTGGCTCCTGGCCTGCTAGCTTGGGGACTCAGACTGTCCTTACTTGAATCTGGGTGGGACCCACTCCGGGGAAGTGTGGGATGACTGGGAAGATGCTGGAAGATCATATTCCAGCCCATGAGAACTGAGACTTTTCTGTTCTTTACTTTTCTTTGGGGGAAGACGGTTCTGGAGTCAAAGTTGGGGAGTTTGGGTCTTGGATGTTTGCTAACTTTTCCCGTGCCAGGTTCAAGACACTTACATTCTTACACCTCAGTGTCCTTATTTGTAAAATGAGGCTATCTGTTAGGATCAACACAAGGGTCAAGACAGTGATGTCTGTGAACAGCCTCAGCCTGGCACACGGGAGGTGCTCACCACACATTAGCTCCTCTCCACAAATTCTGTCTAGAGCAATGTTCCTCTGAGTTCTGTGTACCTCACTTTGCTGTACTGTCCACTATGCCCGCCACAGCTCTGTGGAAGGAAGGAGACCGTCTGCCCCTACTGGTGGGGGCAGGGTCTTGCTTTGCTCTGCCCATGCCTAGGAAGAGCCCACGACGCTCATCAAGTGCGTGTGGAAGGTGCCTCCACATTCCAAGATGCCAACTGACGTGGTAAGCTCTGTAGCATACTAAGAAGAGGACACCCTCATCCTGAGATCCATCAGGAGGTGATGAGACCAGAATTCAGAGGTGTCACAAACCCAGTGTTTGCTTATCGAGCTTAGGACCTCTTGGGGAATTGTATCCTGTGCTGCCCCGAGCTTAGAAAAGGCACATTTTAGCCTTAATGAAATGATGCCTCATCTAAAAGCATGGACAGAAAACCTCTGCTTTAACCAGGACCCAGCAGGAGTAGGCTGACCTCATCAAGTAAGACCCTGTTGGAAGAGGACATTCAGGCAGGCGCATGGCCAATTGGGAGAGTCTCAGCATAAGAAGTGGGACTCAGTCAAGGCAGGACAGGGCAGGAGGAGTCCTGGGCTCTCTAGAATTGTTTTATCATTTTGGGGGGTCTTTTATATTATATGCATTAAAAAAAATTGGAGTACAGTTTCTTTACAATGTGGTGTTAATTTCTCCTGTACAATGCGGTGAATCGGCTCTAGGTATACATCCAATTGGGAGAGTCTCAGCATAAGAAGTGGGACTCAGTCAAGGCAGGACAGGGCAGGAGGAGTCCTGGGCTCTCTAGAATTGTTTTATCATTTTTGGGGGTCTTTTATATTATATGCATTAAAAAAAATTGGAGTACAGTTTCTTTACAATGTGGTGTTAATTTCTCCTGTACAATGCAGTGAATCGGCTCTAGGTATACATACATTCCCTCCCTCTTGGATCTCCCTCCTACCCCAGCTTCCCCATCCCGCCCCACCAGGTCATCACAGAGCACTGAGCTGAGCTCCCACGAGTTATCTATTTTATAAATAGTAGAGTATACATATCAATTCCATTCTCCCAATTCATCCCTGCCCTCATCCTGCTTTGTGTCCACATGTCTGTACTCCGCATCTGTGTCTTTATTCCAGCTCTGCAAATAGGCTCAGCTCTACCATTTTTTTTCTAGATTCCACATACATTTATTATCATTTATTCCTGGGCTTCCCTCATAGCTCAGTTGGTAAAGAATCCGCCTGCAATGTGGGAGACCTGGGTTCGATCCCTGGGTTGGGAAGATCCCATGGAGAAGGGAAAGGCTCCCCACTCCAGTATTCTGGCCTGGAGAACTCCATGGACTGTATGGTCTATGGGGTCACAAAGAGTCAGACACGACTGAACGACTTTCACTTTCACAGCTTTGTGAGGTACAGATGCAGTTACTTCCATTTTACTGGGGAGGACGGGAGGCTCAGAGAAGTACAGTATGCATTCCAAGTCACGCTGCTAATAGCAAGACCCTAGGGGGAACTCAGGTGTAGCTGGTTCCAAGGCCTGCGTCATTGCTACTGCTCCTTGGACTTCTGGCTATGGTTGGCTTGCTAACTAAATCACCAGTCAGCATTCTCTCTCAGTCATGAGCATGGAAAAGCCAGTGATGATTCAACAAACTCTGGGTGGCCAAAATCAATTAATAAGAATCTTTTCCTCTCAAGGGGCTCATAGTCTAGGCTGGGTGTGAGGCAAATAACCAGGCCATCTCAGGGAGGCACATCTATGATTGGAGAAGTGACAGTGCATTGAGCCCAGCCTGAGGAACCAGAGAGCATTCCTCAGGGAAGAGGTGTTTAAGTCTGAAAGAAGAATAGTTGGAATGAGGACCCTCAGTCCTCTTGTAGGCAGAGGTGAGACCAGGACACCCAATGTACCCCCTTCCCTGCACAACCAGACCTTCAGTTCATCACTGGGTCGCCAGCACCACTGATGGTGAGATGATAAAACTTGGGAATTTCAACAGATTGGTGGCTGCTGATGGCTTTGCATCAGAAATGTAGTCAAAGTTGGGTAGTTCAAGGACTTCCCTGGTGGTCTAGCGACTAAGATTCCATGCTCCCAATCCAGGGGGCCTGAGTTTGATCCCTGGTTGGGGAACTAGATTCTGCAAGCTGCAACTAAGCATTCACATGCCACAACTAAAAGATCCCTCATGCTACAAGTTTAAAAAAAAAAAAGAGAGAGAACCCATTTGTCACATGAAGACCTGGTGCAGCCAAATAAGTAAATAAATTAATAATAATAATAATAATAAAGCTGGGTAGTGGAGAGCTTTGCCGTGGTTCTACATAGTCAGAATCTGGAGGGTTGAGGGGAGTCAGGGAACTTGTGTTTTAAACCAGTGGATTGTCCATAGAACCCACACACTGCATCAGGAGGGTACATGTTCCCTTGG